AAACTAAAACTAGAAATCAATACGTAATTATATCTTCTTTTTCTTTTCACCAGAATTGGTTCGTACTTTCACGATACCTACACTTCCTTTTCTGTCACAAGAATTGACAAGGAAAGAAAACTAAAACTAAAACTAAAACAAAACATAACTTATGAGAACCATTTCTTTCTTATCCTATTTTCCATTCTTCTACTGTCAAAATATCATCAATCTACTTATCTCCTTCTTACTGATGCATCATATTATATGCACATAAGAGGATCGTTAACTAACAAGGTATGCCGGGTTTGCACTTGAGCACGCCAGCAAAGCGAGTGAGTCGTCCTGCATGTGAACCAGGCTTGAACTTGATCTTATGATTTTTTGTCAATGCAGTTTTTTTCTTGTCTTGTGGTCCTGACTCCACAAAATAAGCTCCATTTAAGAACGAATCGCCCTCTGATACCCATTGCCACTTCTTCCACTCGGATTCTGGTGCGTAATCCCTCTTAGTCACCTGCATTTAGCACCATCATGTTATGTTATCAATCCACATAGTACAAACCAATAGTGCATATAGTTTAGTATTTATATACATCTAAAAGTACAATATCACACTAAAGAGTGCAAATTATGTTATTTTGTTGGCTAAGACCGATTTTCTAATAGAGAGGATAGTGTCTTGAGTTGATCAATGTCGGAGCCAGGAATTTATGAAAGGAGATTCAAAAAGTATTAGACTTGTCACACTAAAGCAACTTTTGAACCCTTTTTGCTACTACGAGGGTGTTTGACTAAGCTTATCAAACTGATTTATAAGTACCTTTTAGCTTAACATTAGAATCTTCCCTTACATATCAAGGGGATTCAACAGTTTATGTATAAATAACAAACTCGATTTTGTCTTTATATCACAATATAATTTTACGATGAAGGGAATCCAATTGAACCATCTTGGCTCTACATAGCTCCGCCCCAGGCTGATAGATTTGATTCCAACCAAAAATGACTTAAAAAGAAAAGAGTGTTGTATGATAAAGACTATTACATTACCAAAACTGATTATCTTATGTCACTAGGTACTTGTGAACCTACCTGATATAATCATTTATGAATTTTCCAAAAAAAATGGTGAAGTGTACCTGCTTAGTATTAGGATTATCGGCAGCCTTGAAACGATTACCCTGACTGATAATGGTTGGATGAGCGCTGCCACCAATCGCGTACATTTGCCAATGAGTGTAGTCATTGTTGACAACATGGAAGAATCCCCATCTGCACCTTGGCATCCTCTGAATCAATCCCTCCCCGAACCGATTGAATGCAACTGTGACTTGCATTATTGAATCTTGAGGGAAAGCATCAGTTGCCCCCAAAAGCATCACCTGAATCATCATTTGTAATCAAACTTTAACTACTAGTATATGGCTTTTTTTAAGGGTAGTAATTAGTAAAGAGTAACGTTACGTCGTTATGATGGTTGAATTTGCAATTAGAAATGGTGATTGCAGTGGAAGCCATGATGGCATCAACAAGGCCATCGGTACATTCTGACAAAGTGCAATGATCAATCCAGATATGGTTGGAACCAAAAATGGAAATGCCATCGCCATCGCTCACCGTCCTTAGACCAATATGGTTAACAGAATATCTTATCATGCCACCATTAGTAGATATGATATTCTGAATCCTGATGTTGTGGATTATGACATTATGCACGAATTGGATCGTTAATCCAGCACCATTGGCTATGTGAACAGCAACTCCCCTGCCATCGATTGTCTTATCACTCGTGATCATAAGTTCTTGTTGCAACTTGATCACCATTGATTTCTCAAAGATGATCCACAATGGCTCCTCTTGAATCACAGCATGACGAAGGGTCCCCGGCTTTGGTTCCTGCACGTTATCATCTGATTCATCGGTGACAACATAGTACTTGCCATTCTTACCACCGGTCGTTTTGTGGCCAAATCCTCTAGCACACTCTTCCAAATCCTTCCTGTTTTCAGTCCAATTTTTGTCACACCTCCAGCATCTGTCAATTGGATTGGTTGCCATGCATTTATTTTTTTCTTTAAGATGCCTCCTTAAGCTTTTATACTTCAGCAATGCACTGCATAATACATAGAGTAAAATTCAAGTCATTATTCCTAAACCTATGTAAGTGAAATCAAAGAAACAGCTACAACTACGCCTCAATCCCAAACGAGTGAACAAACAAGTTAGGTCAGCTATACATATGATGAAATGTCACAGTCCATGTCTCTCTATTTAAGATTGTCGCTATCCAATATTACAAAAAAAAAAAAAAAGTTTCTGTAGCATTAGAGGTTCTCTACATTTTCTTCTGTCATATAAATCTCGAACGAGTCTAAAAAAAACCTCTAGCAAATATTGTACCTAAATAAACATTCTAACATAACAAAAACTTTATCTCAACTAAATGATATTCCCTTCATTCCACTTTATGTGGTTCATTTTCCGTTTTAGTTCATTCAGAAAATCATGACACTTGTAAATTTGAGGGGAAAAATTAACTATACACTTTCCAGTTTACCCTTAATGAGAAGCTAATTTTATAACCATGAAAATATGACATGTTTAAGGTTTATAGCCACACATAAATATAACATGTTTTAGACCACAAAATTTCAGAAGTCCACATTTTTTTCTTAAATTCCATGGACATTCAAACATTTCACATAAATTAGAACGGATAGAGTATCGTCTATATACATTTTTCGTCCGTTGAACCCTATTTTTTGCTAGTTCTGCATTCTTTGTTGCCCGAACCATCCATAAAATGTAACACAGAGTATGTTTGAAGGATCCGAGCAACATAATCTTCACGAAGAAAAAGAAAAAAATAATCAAGAAACCACTTACTTTCCAACTTCTTCGTTGAATGCATTAGTTACTTCCTCAGGATTATGTGTATATGCTTCAAGTGAAGAGTTGAGGGCTTCCAAAGTTTGTTTTTCCAAATATGCATCAAATTCAGCAATTCTGGCATGTAAATGTGGGACTAATGAAGCTAACCATATGAACAATATTAACAAAATTGAATTCCCACTAATAAAGGCCATAGCTTTTTATCTCCTTTAATTTTCTTTTTTCTTTTGTAGTTGTGTTCTTTTTTTTTTCTTTTTTTTTTGGTATTTCTTGCGAATCACCAGAGAAGTTTGTGATTCAGGGCGGAGCTAGAATATAGTTTTAAAGATTCCGTTGAATTCAGTAGCTTCGGTTCAAACCTTGTGTTTGTCTTTAAAAGTTGATTGAATATGTAAAATCATTAGTTTAGAATCTAAATTATGCACCCTTCAACTTCAAAACTTGGCTTGGCTTCGTCTAGTGACTTGCATTTTGCATGTTATTTCTAGAGGGAAGCCATGTATATAGAGAAAGTTGTTTTATCTATCTATAAATCCTATAGGTGAGATTCTAAAAAATAGAAAATATAAAAGGAAGTACATAGAGATATTATACAACACACAATAGAACTTGAGAAGAAACAAATACGGGTGTCCAAAGACTTATTTTGAGGTAGCTACTTGTGTTTTACTAACTAACTTTTCAATGTTTGTGTGAAACAAGTCATGAATAATTCTCAAGAAAAATCAACTACTTGTGTACACCTTTTTTTATCGTGAGTTTAATTTCTATGTATTGACTTGCGGTATGTAATAAATATTTATATAATTAAATTTATTAAGAATTTATAGGTAAGTCTCTTAATAGACATTAATCAATAATTAGGTAAAAATGGTAATTTAATTATCTAATATCACAGGTAAAAATCCAATGATGGTATTAAAAAAATATTATTAATGTAAATAACTTAAATCCTTTTATTACAGGCAAATTGGATATTTAGGTCGGTGAGTACAACCAACCCCACGCTACATTTTCGTGCTATTAAGAATTTGTATATCGCAGCCCAATTTACTTGATACTTTTTGCTTTTCAATAAAATAATTCGACTTATCTTTTAATCTAAATTGTATTAGAATTTGGATGCTCAAAATAATATGAAAAGTACTCTAATTCAGTTGCATCTTTTTCTTCATAAAGTCTTTTTTAAATTATTAATAAAAATTCTACATAATTTAAATTCTGAGAAGAACATAGACAATAAGCACATAAAGAGTGTAAATAATTAAACATAATCATGTGTTTCAGAATTTAACGTTTTATTTAGAAGAAACGCGTAAATACTGCCACAACATATAAGATTGTAATTTTTTGGGATATAGATAGATAGAGTAAGTAGATCAAAAAAAAACCTTACTTAGGCATTTCATTAAATTCCTTATTAGGAAAGTAAGCCTTAATTTATGTTAAAATAAAGCTCTAACTTACTTCTTCAAGTTCTCCAAGTATTCAATAATGATCTACAAATGTTAGAGCTAAAATACTTATATTAATTATATATAATATAATCATACGAAAAGTAAAAGTTTTGGAGTAGAAAAACGATTTTTCCAAAACTTATATTTGTTTGGTTGTTTCAAACAGTTGAAAATAATATTTGAAATTTATAGGTCAATTTTGAGAGTTGATAAGAATTGATTTTGATTGAATATTCAAACCGAAACTCAGAAACAAAGAAGAACAAATCTCTTCTTTTTTTTCAGATCTATATAAATAATGTGTACTTTGTGTTTTGAGTATGCTATTTGTATTTCAATTGTATCACTGAACATAAAGTGACACACAGAGACATACACAAATACACTCAACAACATAACTGTATGCAAATTATACGAACGTTGTATGGTTTAACTAGAGTATTTTTTTTTAAAACAGAGGTAGGGGAAGAGGAAATGGGGAGGAAATTACAATGTGGAAAATCAAGCTCTCACCAATAAGGTGGGGAGTTCAGGTAGTCAACCAACGAACTATTAAAATTCTCCAATGAGAGTATGCAAATTGTATATAAGTTATATATTTTGACATGCAAAATACATTCAACAACATAACTCACCAACAAGCTTTCATTTGGTATATAACACCAAATAAAAAATATAAGTTGAACACACATGCTATAGCCAACATCTCCCACAATATGCATAGCATTTCCCCTCTTATTTTCATGTTACTTTTTACTGTTTTGGAGGGACATACAATACAATACAGTAAAACATAAGTAACAAGCCACATGAAGAAAGAAAAAAATCAAACATCAACCCCATTGCAGCCATGGTTCACACGCCAAGATATCCTGCAATTAAATTAGTTTAGACAAAAAAAGAGGAAAAATTAATTATTACAAATGCTTGGAAATACATCGACAACCCCTTAAACTTGTCAGCAAATTTTATTTAGATACTCAAACTAAAACTTGTTCCAATTGAACACTTGAACTCATAATAAAGTGTTTCTATAAGCACTTTAGGATCAAATTTTGTCGAAAAAAAAGTTGTGCTTGTTCTGAAGCATATGTCAACTCTAGAGATATAGTAACATGGAGAAGACAATTGTTTCAAGTATCGATAGAAGATAGGTTTAAGTTAACCACATAAAATATGTCATTATCCTTTAAGTACACACATCAGCCTCAATTGGAATAGGTCTAAAGTTTTATGGCATTGAAACAAATGCATATAAATAAAGAAGGTGACATTTTAAGTGTTTATGGCTTATTGAGACAAATGCATATAATTAAAGAAGGTGACATTTTAAGTGTTTAACTTATCCATATAATGGATGTTTGAGAAAGTTTGTCATAATTTGAACTGAAGAAACACTTTTTCATGTGTTTAAGTACTCAATTGAGACAAGCCTTAATTTGAGTGTCTAAATGAAATTTGTTGGCAAGTATAAGAGGTGGTCCATGTATTAAAGCCTAAAATATACTTATATGACATAAAGCTCATCCACCAAAATTGGATCGGCACTGAATCTCTAGGTAACTGAGTAACAAATTTTATGAGGGAGATCTATGTTGATGGAAGAAGTGTCAAAAACAATAGGAGTGCAGAAATTTTATAGCTAAAATGTTTAAGCGCTTAACAGGGTGTGTTCTCAGCTATTTTCAACAACCTAAGACTACTAAACACAAGTAATTTTCGTGAACAAATGATTTCATATAAAACAACATGGGAGAGTGCAGGTTTTAGGGGTTCCAAGCTAAACAATCAATTTTTACACTGCAATGTTGCCAAACTTACAGAAGCGAACGATCTTCCAGTGTTGGTTCCTGTTGTCTCCTTTCCACCATTCCCAAAGACAAACAGTGGTCCCATCGCGGACACCTCCATGCTGTTTATCAGCATTCCATGCATCTAGATTGAGGTTAATGTTATTGACCATCCTAACTGCTCGATAACCATCACCCACGTCCCTGCTCTCTGTCCATAAGATTGACGCATCAAGAACGTCGGGATTGTACGGGGTGAGCTGCACCTGTAAAAGAAGTCCAAGAGGAATGTAAACTTTCTATGCTTCCTTCCCTATCAGAAGCCATGTAATATTAGTAAGACAGGACCCCTGAGCAACAGTGTGTTCGACTGTTCGTTACCCTTGGGGCATAGTAAAATCTATTATGCATTTGAGGCAAAGGAAGGTGCATGGAGGCAAGGAAGGCAAATATTAGTTGAAAATGTATATAGCACGTGTATGACATCTGTAGGCAACAGGACAATAGCAATTACTATCACAAGGAACAAGGTTTATTTAAGATGTCAATACTTCTTGTATAAACTCAAGCCACTAATGCCCATGTTTCATCAATTTTCCATTAACTATGAGGTTTTCTACAGTTAATGGATCAAAACTCAAACTTAACATGGCTACGATTTCCCTATTCTCTAGTTCTAACAGAACTTAACCTATACCCTCGGTCTATTTCTATGTTTGGTCTACCTAAGACTTTTCTCATGTTTGATAAGCCTATGCCAGTTGCATTTTGTGCTTATTTTAGGAGTTTCATGTCTTCTTTTTGATAAAGAAAGAAAAGAGACATAAATACTCCTAGAATAAGCACAAAATGCAACTTGCACAAGAAAGTATATGCAAATCTTCTCTCAAAAAAAAAAAAAAAGTATATGCAAGTTGGGTTAAGAAAGTATATGGACACTATCTTGTTTTATTTATACAATGTCAAATCTTGATGTTAAAAGACTGGGTATTCATACACACTCTCTTCGTGTTTCAAGGTACAAATTCTCTTTAGAAAGATGATACATTCTGAGATGGCCACTTAACATATGAAACCGTATGGAACCTTAGAAGATCTTGGCAAGAGGATATGAAGGCTCACAATAGGCTAAAGTGGAGAGTCCAGTGGAGGATTTGTAAGACCAACTACAATAGCATGATAGCCATAGTCTCATTGCAGTGGCTAGTTTTGTAATACTATAAACAATAGATATTACGGCATCTTACGGGTCGGTTCGTATCTACAATGGATAAGATCCGAGTCTAGTCTATAGGAGGTTATAAAAGAAAAGGAGCAATAATCATTTTCTTTTTCTACCAAGAAGGTGCTATTGCTCCTTTTTTGGAGTTCGATAAATTCATAATAAATTCATGTGCATCTTCCAGGTACCTCGTATCAGGCACGCGAAATTATCTTATACATTTATCTTCCTAATTCTAACATAAAGGATGATACCCATCAGCTTCTACAAAAAAGAAAAAAGAATGAACAAAATAACGATGCCTCCTTAAAGCCAATTTCAGGTTACCAGGGTGTACAAACAAGTGCTATAAATCTTCTTAGCCAATAAGCTATCATTGGTTGCACAGAGAATCGTCGCTTTGTTTGGCAATTTATACAAGTTGTCTTGATCATCAATCTAGAACTAGATGGTGCAAAATACATTTAAGCTCACTATGATATCCAGGACCGACTAAGGCCCTGTTTGTTTACACTTAATGGAGGTCTAAATCATTTAGATCTCAACTAATCAAATGCATTTGTTTTTTTCCTCTACACCACTCTTAAAACCATGTTTCAGCTAATGCCAATTACACAACCAACCACATCTGATAAATTAACCCCAAGTTGCTAAAATTAAGCCCAAAATCAGCTGCACATCTGCCCTCACCCATTTTTTTTATGAGGCTGCCCTCACCTACCTAGAGGGGGATCAGTGACCTGGGTCCAATGAGTTATTCACACCCCCAAGAAAATGAAGCATAAATTAGATCTCTTGCTAAAGAGTGAAATTAGATATTTGCAAGAAGAGTCTCTTTTGTGTTGGAGCACATATTATAAAGATATCAAAAACTATATAGCAATAACACCATTTCCTTCTCTCCACCTATTCCTTCAGATAAAAGCAATGCACACATAATCAACATTATCTTCTTATTATTCCTTTTTAAAGATAAAATAGCAATAGGTGAATGTTGGTACTGTTTAACTTCTATAGTTGTTTCGTTTATAGCTTATGATCTGTAACTGTCAACTGCAAGTGCAAGTTCGACATCTCAACATAATTAAGTAAATGAAGTGATCTCTCTAATAGCTCAAACTTTTTAGATGAAATGGTCACACAATTCAACATGGTATGATCCTGAATTCGAGTCTCACCACCAAACAAAAACCCTTCAGTTTATATATTGGATTACACTTTCCCTCAAACTGTCTAGGTTTCTCTCCCTCCATAAAGTCCAAACAATCCATACTTGAATATCTTTTTCTTCTAAAAGAACTCATAACTGAGCCTTCAAATAATTTAAATGATCCTTTATCCTTCATACTCAACATTAAATTGCAAAAGATTCATTTTCCTGTTTTTTCTAGGCAACCTGTGAAAAAGTCCCAGTCTGCATCATTTGCAAGTCAGAGTATTTGCATTAGGTAGAAATAACCTGCACTAAAAGCCGCCGGACAATCACACACAAAAAATAGAGAATTACGAAGCATACACTGATACAGCGGAAATCTCACACATGCAGATACCACAAGTAAACACTCAGGGGATAGACCTAGGAGCTAGAAATGGAAGATATTAGGTGCAGTTTGATATACATACACAATACAGTGACAAATAATTGACTGGGCACTGACTTTCTTTCCGCCTCACACACTCACAGTCCTCATCTCCATTAAACCCTCCATCTCTAGCATGGTACTACTTGAAACACCCCAAACCATCACAAATCATAGCATTTGCATTAGGTAGAAATCTCTAATCTCCTTTCTAGGACAAAGCAATGGGTTGGCTATCAAAGTTCATTCCTTTGTGAAGTTTAACATTATTGAGGATATCATCAAACTATGCAGCACAAAAAATAAAATCAAATAGTTATTTTCAGAGCTTATGGTTAACCAAGAATTGAACATACAGGATGAGAGGCGCCAATAGAGTGCTTCAGTGCCAGTCCTGAAGCTTTATTAACCAGAGCAAAGCTTGGAAATCCCTCTTCATCCTTCACTTTAGTACTGCACTTCTCATCTTTATACCAGTGCTGTAACAAATTTCATCCATTACAACAAATTCACAGTAAACAACAAAATCAAAAGAAGAAAAAAAACCTACTTGAAATGGATCTGATGGATCATTAGAAGCCAGAACAACTTTTTCATCACGGATAGTGAGAGAGTAATTAGTATCAGCCTTAGTATAAACCCTAAAAGAAGGTTTATCCATAAGCTCTGGATCTGAAGTTTGATGGTGGAAAGCTGAAGGCACATGTGGTTGAAAATGATGACGATCATGATGCCGATCACCACTCTCACTCTCATGAGACACGTGTTCAACAGAGGAATAGTCGGAAGTAGGTGGTGGTGGTGGGGCGTCATAGTAATCGGACCTCGGCGGTGGACGATTGTAAGATCCACCATAGTTCTCCTCCATCGGCGGCGGAGGATAGTTAGTCCGACCATAACTATCATCCATCGGCGGTGGAGGATAGTGAGGCCGGCCATAATTAGGTTCCATCAGTGGTGGTGGTCCACCTTCATGAGAAGTATGAAAGACATGACCAACTTGAGGAGGTGGTGGTGGTTCATCGTAGTATGACGGTGGTCGGTGGCCGGGAGGTGGAAACTCTTCTCGACGGTCGTCGTCGTCGTCGCGACGGTGGTGGTGGCCGTCGTGGTGGTGTCCAAAAGGATATTCCATTTGTTAGATAATAATAGTATTAAATTTTAGCACAATCTTTTTTCTTTGATTCTACATATTATATATTGTTGGTGTGTGTGACATGTGTCTATGTTTAATTTAGTTGTTAAGCTAACTTTTAAAATAGGAAAATACCTAAGTTTTCTATACTACCATTATTATTGCACACATGTCCCATTTTTAGTTGTTGTGTGTTGTGATTGATTTGTTAAGCTATCTTGATTGACCTTTTATTTTAAAACTAGATTCTTAAGGCCCGTGATACGGGCCCAATATAATCAATTATTAATCATTATTTGACAAATATTAAAAGGTATTTCTATAGCATTCTGATCAACATAAATTAATATCAAAAAATAACCATCAAAGAATATAGTGCATTGAATGGTGTTTCTCCTTCCTTAATTAAATATCTTAATTTTAAGTTTTGGATATGAAAAGAATTCTTAATAGAGAGCTCTATATCTGAATGGGCAACTCCAATATAAATATCGAATACTGAATAAAAATATTAAATTAAATTAACCCAATAATATTTTAAAGTATAATTGATATTAGCGATGGGTAGATTCATTTTTTAAGTTGTAAAACTCTGAAGTATAATATTCAATTTATTTATTTATTTATATTACTATAAGACACAAATTTAGTAGGATTCAGAGTTAATTTGTCTGTTAGATTGGATTATATCCTATATAAAAATCATGAATTATTATGTATTATCATCTTGAAATCTATCTTATTCATTTCAATTAATTTGTCGAATTTTTCTTTATAATCTATTAAAAAGTAATGTCCCTTTTCTTTTCTTAGTTCCAACTCCACATAACATATTTAAGATCACAAGATTAAAAGACATTTACTATATTTCACATATTTAAAATTTAAAATCACAAGATTCAAAAATCTTCCTTAATTTCTTAAACTTCATGTCAAGTCAATATAGAACAAACACGTTGAAACAGAGAGATTAATATTTTTTATTTATCATTCATACATAAAAATTAGAACTAAGAAGCATGTTTCACTATTACATGAAGTTCTATATATGCATAATTTGTCTTAATGAACATAATTTTTTTAGCATGATACAAATGTGTTTTTGGTTCTCTTTTTTCATGCACAATAACTTATAGGAACAAGTATTTTTGTTATTTTTATCAATTAAGTGAAAAAAATTCAAACAATCTGAAAACATAAATGCATTTTCTCTGTTTTAAAAAAATCTATTTAGAATTAAATGTTAAATTAGCATGATATTTTAATACATAGATCATTACATATTGTATTGATTTCCTCATCCAGATATTTTATCTTATTCCAAAATTTATTCATAATTTTTAAAATTACTATTAATGATTTGCTATTTTTGTCATCTCTTTCTAAATATTAATCTACTTAAATTTATTTTACTTCTCTAATTAATGTATTGATTTTTTGTGTTCCGATTCTTAACTTCCTATTTCAAACAAAAGAATAGCAATATTAAGTAAATAAAGTAAACAATCTGATTAATCTTAAAATTTAAAATATTCTATTATCAAAATATTCTTATCATTAATGTACGTAAATTGAACACGAAAAATACTTATTATTTCTCTTTAATATTTGATTCGCAAAATTTTAAAACTATTTATTTAAAAAATTAGTTAGTTTCTTAGTTTACTTTAATTTCATTTAATTTATCTATCCATTTTATTTATTAATTTTTATTTTTATGTAAATATTTTTATTTTTTAATACATTTTAAATCATGTTTGTTTCTTTTTATATTTATTTTAGTGCAAAAAGTAAAGGTGTTAATGAAATATAAATTGATTTAATAAATGGGTCCCATCATTTTTAGATAGTACGGCTACTTATTTTTATTTTTAATACATTTTAAATCATGTTTGTTTCTTTTTATATTTATTTTAGTGCAAAAAGTAAAGGTGTTAATGAAATATAAATTGATTTAATAAATGGGTCCCACCAGTTTTAGATAGTACGGCTACTTATGATATTTTTATGCTTTTCATGATAGAAAGTACACGTGGCCATCATAATAATAGCAACTTGGCTGTGTAATCTGGGAAATTCAATAATTTTGCAGCAGAAAGTACAATTGTTTTAAGCTGATAATTTTGGTAAAATGACAAAAGTGCCCCTAGTCGTCCTGGTCGTCTTCACTCTTCTATATAATAGAATAGAAAAATAGATAGAAATATAAAGTTGAACAAGTAGACAAATGTGTCCTACGAGACATAATTCACGTAAGACGCCACATAGAATGTCGCATAGGACATGAATTATATCGCCACGTAGGACGTCAAGTAGGACACATGTGTCTACTTGTTCATTTCTATACAAATTTTTGTGTCTACTATGCACATCCAAAATTGGAGGACACTGATGTCAAATGAAACCAAATTAAATGACATATTTATGTATTATGCATTTTAGAAAAATATATTTATATTTTTTTATAAAATTTAACCAAACACGACTTTAATTATACATTTTTTTAATAAAATAAAAACTATATTTTCATGACCGAACCAGATTAAGAAAGAAAATGATTAAAAGGCCTCGAATTTAAATTTTGAATATGAAAAAAAATCTCATTAAAAGTAGTAAGTACATTCAAAAATAAATATGAACTCAAATTAATTATTTTTTTTAAAAAAAATAAAAAATATGTGGTCTTGAATGCATAGACTTTTGAAGTGAGTCAAAAATGGGGTCCATGTTTTAACTTTGCATTAATTTCTTTTACTCCTCCCAATGTGTTGTACACGTGTGACAATGAAAATCAACAACTTAATGGTGGATAAAGTGGGAATTACATAACTTTTGGCTAGTTTTTTTGGAATATTCAATACTTTCAATGCAAAATGTACAATTAAGTTAAGCTTGAAATTTTATTAAATTGACAAAAATACCATTGGTCGTCCTGGTCGTCTTCACTCTTCTATATAATAGAAATGAGAAAAAATCAGAGTGAATCCACAACATTACTAGAAGATTTGTAGGAATTTAACATGACATCAATTTTCACTTAAACATTTTAAGTAAATCTTGTCTATTTTAAAAATCTGTTATAAAGTTTTATTATGTTATTTTGAACTTTTTTGACAATTAGAAAAAGAAAAAAAAACTTAAGAAGATTGTAATACATTTATTGATAGTGCGGTAAATAGCTAATTAAATTATTATATGTAGCTTTTTAAGTAGAAAAAATATTCCAAAATTTATTTAATTAATAAAATAAAAATTACATTTTTAAGAAAATAACTTACACTTTATCCCCTCGTCAGAGGTTATATTCTCTACTATATCCAAAAATCTCTTTTGTAGAAACAACCTCCTCACCCCCCCCCCACCCCCCCCCCCCCACCCTCTAAACTCTCTCTGTCTCCTATAGAAAAGTTTATTTAACAAAGAAGTATAAATGTCACAGCTCTGAGCCTACACTCTAGATGTGGTCGACACTCGAAGATTATTGTCAATCCTCAAGCGAACCCTTGGCCTAGTTGATTATTTAGCGAAAGACTAAAACATACACACGAAAGCTTAAACTGATGAGCAATTTAAAAAAATAAAGTGAATTTCAAATGATGTCTGAAAATACAAAATATAAAAGATAGAATTTTAGAAAAACATTTGAACGAAAACTGATTGACTCTCTATATCTATCTATTCATGAAGCCTCTACTGTCTAAAGATGAGTGTCAGAACAAGATTCATGACAACCTCAAAATACTACTATTACTAAAGCAATAAAATTGGAGTCCTCCAAAAGCAGGGAAGTCTCACCAGAACATGACAAGTGGATGATGTGATCTCAATGGAACGTATGTTGATGTTTGCAGTAGCGAATGGCGTAAGTACATGAAACATACGGTATGTAATAAAACTGAATAAAACAAAAAACTGAACTGAAGGACTGAAAGTGTCAACTGAAGTAAAGCATGAACATGAAGTGAAATCATTTAAGCTTTACAATATATAATGAAATGATTGCAAATACTGAAATATATACACACTTTACTTTCTTGGAGAATTTCACAAACCGACAACTATCACTATGAGTCTCGTAATGATACAACATCTCATCCACGTTGCAGAACCGCCATATACTTTGCTGGAGTATAGGACTTAACTCAACTTATGGATCCAGTAAGAGCCTAACCCAAAGATGAAGCTCCTCATTTTGGACATCATGTCTAGACCATCTCTAGAGCATAGTGAGACAGTTGCACAAACTTGAGACCATACTCATTCACCAGCTTCATCTCCACTTGCTTCTGATTCACAAACTCTTCTATTTTAGCCTCTCTCAACTCTCTGGGAAAGAAGTGATCTAGGAAAGCCTCCCCAAACTCATTTCATATGCTCGCATCCACATCCTCACCACGACTCTCTTCTCATTGCTCATACCAGGTGTGTGCTACATCCTTGAGTTGATAAGCAGCAAGTTCAAATCCTTCAGCCTAAGTAGCATGCATTGCCTTGAGAATTTTCCATATCTTTTTGAGGGTCCTCTTCTACCTTAGACCCTGTGAACATCGGGATTCATCCTCAAGAAATCTCAAATTTAGAAAAATCTCACAATATACTTCTCAATTAGCTCAACGGTACCCTTGAAAGGGTTGGTTATAGCAAAAAGATGCAATGGAAGAACTAGAAAAACGTATTTAAACAAAATGGCTCTTCCACCTATAAAAAAGTTGTTTGTCGGCCTTTAATTTTGTTGATGGTCTTGTTTATCATGTATGAGTAATATAATGAGAGTTTTTTTTATTCCTACAATGAGAGGGGCACCCACAATACGCATCTCAACACATATATACAAGGGAAAAAAGGGATAAATATACCATTTAACTATTGAAAATGAAATACGTTTACCTTCGTTATATTATTGAGACATTAGAGTCTTTGTCGTCCAAAAAGTGGAACATTTGTATCCTTCACACTCAGGGGTGTACTCACCCTTGGATAATCAAGTGACACTCCTTCGTCGG